CCCCCCTCAAAATCCAGAAAAACCATGGGAATAAAAAATAAAATGTTCTACTTGATGAGTGGGAACCTTTCTCGTGGTATTATTTTTTGTGTAGTTAGATTGATTGACCACTTCTTGTTTTTTGTTTTCATAAAACGTAAAGATGGGTAAGCTATGGTCATCCTATGCCATTATTGCATTTTTAAAATTGAGAGAACCAAGGAAAGTAATTCCAGAAATTGTTTGAATATTGGATTTGTTCACGTGAAAGCATGTTTCCTTTACAAACATTATAAGGGGCTCTCTCCTTCCAAGTACACTTCTTTCAGGAAGGAACTTCTGTACTTTGGCTTCAAAGATATCTTCCAATTTCTCATGCTTCTCTTTTTTCTTGTCTTCTTCATGCATCTTCAGGTGTGGGACATCCGTACCAAAGCTTGTGTTCACACCTTGACTGGTCACCAGAACACTGTCGCGGTGGTCAAATGTCAAGCCCCAGAGCCTCAGGTACGTCTACCTTGGTCTGTCCCCGTGGTTTTATGCGCCCCGCACAATTTTTGCAAAATATGATCTTTTTTTGCTTAAATTCTGATTATTTTTCTTTATCATTCTTTGTTAAAATTAACAGAATCGCATAATTTCACATTTTTGGGCTTAGTTTGCATAATTTAAGAATTTTTCTTACTTAAAACAGCGGGGACAGCTTGGTCTCAGCTTCATGCTCAATGCTCGTGTGAGTCACCATAAGACCTTTCGAAATGACTGTTTTGTGATGTACCAGGTCTTCCATTTTTTTTTCTAAATGAGCCATGACTATTTGTACGTCCTTTTCTATCAATGTGTCATTTATATCTGCCAGCCTGGCTAAGTCCTGACAGAATGAGGCTGGGTCAAAGCAATGCCATCTTTTGTAAGAAATAAATTGTGACAAGGGGGGGCAGAGAGAATTTTCAACTGCATATTGTGGATTTGAGCGTTTATGATAAACAGAGATTGTGTAAAGGGAGGAGAAGTGGGAGTGGAAGGGGATGTATCATTTCTTTATGTTTCTGAAATATTTTGTGATTCCAGCTTCCTCATTTCATGGCTTAGCAATGTTTTTATAATGTCATATATAGTAAAAGAGATGTGTATTTTCCTTATGCAGATAATTTCTGGCAGTCACGACTGCACCGTTCGGCTGTGGGACTTGGCCATGGGCAGGACGAGGGTTACCCTCACAAACCACAAGAAGAGTGTGAGGGCAGTGGCTCTCCACCCCGTCCAGTGAGTACTCAAGTGTGGACACGGTCATGTGCTTGTCACTGGAGAGGGGGTGGCTGGGGGAGGGGATTCTATGGATCTTTTTTTCGACATTCTCGTAACACCTCTAATCTTCTGGCGCTCATATGACCTTATGCAGTTGCGAGTGCCGTAAAACCTCTACTAAAACTAACTGTTTTGTCTAGGAGGGAGGGGGAGGGGGATGGTTGCTTTGCTCTTATTTACCTTCTTTTTATTTTCTCTCGTTATTTTCTTTGCTTTGGTTATTCTGGTTTGGGGGAGGGAGCTAAGACGTGAGGAGAGAACCGGGTTTATTCTTAAGTAGCTGCACTGTGTTAAGTCAAGATTTTGGCAGATAGAGTAGAGAGGTGTTAACATTTTGTCTTCAAGTGGGCAGAATTCAAGATTTCCTACCAACTGTAAATGTTTAATGTATCCCGCACACTCATATGACCTTATGCAGTTGCAAGCGCCGTTAAACACCTACGAAAAAAAAAAATTGTGGATTTTAAAAATCTATGTTCCTGTTATAATATGCAGTCTTGCACTCTCATAGCAAACAGGTCCTGAATTTTTTTTGTTATATAGAAAAATATTTAAATATATGCTTTGTATTTAAAACATGGACGTAGTTAAATGATTTCCATATCCCACCAATTTCTCTATGTGCATTCTAGACTGTATAATCAAATGTATATTTTTACATTTAACGTTGTTTTAAGCAGTAGAAGTTCTCCAGCAACTCATCAGAACTTCTTTTTATCGAGACATGATGGTTCAATGATGCAGTGGATAATTAATTTGTAAAGGTCCTCCTATAGCTGCATTGTAGGTCTAATCCTTCTTCTGTTTTTCCCCTCAGGTACTCGTTTGCATCAGGCTCGCCCGATAACGTGAAGCAGTGGAAGTTCCCAGATGGAGATTTCTTACAGAATTTGTCGGGACATAATGCTATCATCAACAGCTTAGCTTGCAACTCTGATGGTGTACTGGTTTCCGCAGGTTTGTCTTTTTGATGATTTATCCATTGTGCTGAGTCTGCAATGTCAGCAAATATTTTCCTAAAGTTTTTGCAGCTTGTATTTGAAAGAAATGCAGTAGATTGTTGGTGAACATTGAGGAGAGAATTTCAAATGTTGTGGCTGGGAGATGAAAATAAGACCCCCTCTGCTATAGTAGTTGTAATCACAGTTCCATCTCTAAAGATGACAGTGCTTGAGTTGAAATGATGTGGGGGTTAATTTTTTCTTTGCCTTCAGAAGTTTGTGTGTGTGGCTTACAAAGCAAATGCATGCTTGAAAATGTCAGTTGTCGTGATTGTTAATAAATGGTTGATGTTCTGCTTATTGTTGTGACATCCCCCCCCCAGAGCGGGACTACTGACTGAAGTGTCTTTTCTTTAGGCCGTTCCCATGTTCTTATGCTCAGTAGAATTGTAAATGGGCTGATTCATCCATGTCATGCTCATAACTTTGCTTGAACTGCAATGGGGAACTTCTGCTTTTTTCTTTCCTAATCCTTGCTATCGTCATTTTCCCTCTACTTCTTTTGTATGTTTGTCACACTCTTGTGACCCGCTATTTCCGGGGTGCCTTGATAGTCGAAGCAGACTTTGTGCTGTTGAAGCTAGAGAGGTGAGCAGAGTAGGTCTGATTCCCTGTATGGACTTCTCTGTTGACATCCACCTCTTGGCACTCATATGACCTTATGCAGTTGCGAGCACTGTAAAAACTCTACTAAAACTAAAAAGACTGATTGATGATATGTGGCGTCCGTGGCCTAGTGGTTAGGCTACCGGACTCGTAATCGTGAGGATGCAGGTTCGGGGTTCAAGCCGCGGCCCCGACGTTGTGTTCCTGGGAAAGGCACTTTACACGAATGTTCCTCACTTCACCCAGGTGGGAATGGGTACTCAGCTATAGACAGTGAAAGATATTGTCAGTATCTTAGTGTTTTAGCACCTACATGGTAGCTTGCACTGTATGCTTCCCAGGAAATTGAAGTTGTTTCAGAGTGCTCTCAGGTCTGCTGGGGTAATAGTATAGATTATGAAGCGCATAGAGCTTAAAAAATGCTATCTCTATTATTATTATCTATTATTATATGTGTTTGTCTGTCTGGTTAGCTGACAACGGCAGCATGCATCTGTGGGACTGGAAGACAGGATACAACTTTCAGCGCATCCAGGCAGCCGTGCAGCCGGGCTCTATCCACTCGGAGGCTGGCGTGTTTGCCCTGTGCTTTGACCACAGCGGCAGTCGACTCATCACTGGAGAGGCTGACAAGACCATCAAGATTTACAAGGAAGATGATTCTGCGGTGAGAGTCTTTATTCTTTTTTTTTCTTGAATTATGATTCGGGGAAGAGTGATTTTTTTGGTTCTTAAAAAAATATATAAAAATTCATTATTATAGGTGGGTGGTTTGCTCCTTCTTTCCTATCAAACATCTGTCGTCTTTATCTCCCCTCCTTCTTTTTTGTGTTTGTTACTCCTTTGTAACATCTCTAATCTTCGGCACTTATATCACCTTACAGTAGTCTCCGCCTAAACGCACGCCATACAAAAGCACGCTCCGATCAAACGCATGCTTTCGTCATCTGACGGGTTTTTTACTATACAATTTAGACGTACAAACGCACGGTCACTCCCTCTAAACGCACGCTCCGATCTGCGAAACACGCTGATAGGTAAAGCTTGACTAAGGGAAATTTTCACTACGACAAGCCTAGAAAACCTGATATTTGGTGAGACTGCCCCTTATGCCGAACAAAGAGAGTGATGGACGTTTTCACACCCAACTTTCCACTGACACATAGGTCTAGGACTGGTCGGTGAAATGTTGGGTGGTTGGGGGACTGAAACGTTATTTGATTGGTCACTGGAAATGCATCTCTTTTGAAAGAAGGTTTCTGACTGGTGTTTGAGAGACTGCGTGTTGGCTAATGTTTAGTTAGACCTAAGCCTATGATGTGCAACACGCGTGAATGCTCGTTCATGAAATTACAGTAGGAGGTGGTCGCTTGGAAAGCCACGTTGCTGGGCCGTCGTCTCTATGACTATCACCAACAATTTCTTTTCAGGCTATTGGTTCCCGACATTTTATGGTGCATTCATTACATCGAGTCAGTCTTTCGGCCCCCCCCCCCCCCCCCCCCACACACACACCCACTCAACGCCTTTGCAGTCTTTAACCGCAGTCGGGGAATCTTTTACAAAACAGTCACGTGTCGTCACATTATCGGCCAAAGTGACCCCCTCCCCAAAGGGAGGTAACTAGTATATCAAGGCAATGAGAAAACTGCATCCCTTCCTCCCTTTGCTGAGGTTTATGTAAACGCACGCTCCGTATAAACACACGCTAAGGAGCCCTCCCGAGCACTGTGCGTTTAGACGGAGACTACTGTATTGTGTTGCAAGTGCCGTAAAACTCTTACGAAAAAAGAAAAGGTCTGATTTAACTAATTTATTAATATTACTTTCTTGGAAATAGAGGTCAATGCCATCATGAAAACTAGAATTATAATCTTTTTCTTTTTCTGAGGAATTATGGTTTGGATTAGATTACTATTTTTTTGCCTAAGTTTTTGGGTAGGCTGAGACAGCAGTGAAAAAATTCCTCTCTGAGTTATGGCTTAGCTCAGATTTATTTACCATTGTTTCAAGGAGGTTGAGTGAGAATGCAACTTTAAAGAAAATTATAGTATGGGTCTACTCAGTTAGTGTTAGTTTGATGCTTATACTATGTAGCGTAAGCACGGCCTTGCGGCCTTCCGAGCGCATGGTTTTGGCGAAATCTGGGTAATTCAGATTAAATACCATCATTTCATTGGCAGAGAACTGTGGAGCTTTTAAAGGACTTTCTCGTTATATATTTTTGGCCTTTGGCGTTAAAATAAAAAACTTAAAAATACTGTCAAAGTTTTCAAAGATAATTTTTTTACACGAAATATGTAAAATACTGGCTCAAAAAAGGTACCAATAGAAAGATCACTTCCTTTCCTAGTAGAATAAAGTAATCGGCTTGGAATTCTTTTGCATCAATCTTTCTGCAAAACTCGGAAAGCATGTGACCCCCCTCGCGGGAGCACTCAGTACACTACAGTATAGAGCTGACTTGCTTTCCGCGGGGGCCAGTGTGGGGCCGGGCAAGACAACGCTAGGTCCTTTTGTCGAAATAACGACAGATCATCGTGTTTGAAACAAAAAATTACTGATTTGTAATGATCTCAGTCTTTAAAAAAATTGGGCTCCATTTTATAGTGATTGTACTCTGTTAATGTGGAAATGTTTGGTGCACTTGGTACTCTTTTATTGTCCCTCTTGAAAACGGGGCTGCAGCCAGTTAGCGACTTTAGCAATATTTGATCATATTTAATAAGCTACCATTTTCTTAAAAATTGACTGAGTGGTAAAAGAATGGTACTAAAATTCTCAGGAGACATAGGCCTTTCATTTGGAACAGATAAATATGGCATACAGCAACTTTGAAAATTTAGTTTCTGGTAGGCTACCTACTTTTTTTTTACCTATGTAAACACAACTGAATGTCGACCATCAATTTTTTTCTATATATCTGTCCCCGGGGTTTCATGCACCCTGCATAATTAATTTAGCAAAATTTTATCATTTTTTTGCTTAATTTCTGATTATTTTCCTTTATCATTCTTTGTTGAAATTAACAGAATCGCATAATTTTACATTTTTGGGCTGAGTTTGCATAATTTCACAAAATTTGCATAAAACCGCGGGGACAGATATATAGAAAGTACAGGCTGGGGAGCTTAAAGCTACTCACCCCCACAGACCATGGCATGTATTGCGTCTGGAAAATTTTCACCAGAATCTTGTTTATTTCTGTCCGTAAGACTGCCCACCTACAGACCATATAATACTTTAAAAGTCCTGTCAGAATCTGTTTCTGCCTGTAATTATTGTGTTGTAAGTCCACAGGAGCCGACATGTGGAAAAGTCAGAGAGCGGTCTCTCTCTGTCCTGTCACTTTCTCTGTGTGTCTCTTTGTTTCTCTCCGTCTCTTTTTTCCCTCACCAGCAAACACACTCGTTCTCTTTTTCTATCTCATTAGAAAATGACTTCATGTATTCAGAGAGTGAACATATTTTGAAAAGTGATCTCCCTTTTAACAGAAAAATGTAGTGCATGCGATATTAAATGTATTATTATGTCTGTTGCTGTGGTAGCCCACCGGGTAGTTGACCTTTGTGATTGTGTGATGTGTGGGCCACGGTACATGTATACCAGTACAGATGAAATAATTATGTTCCATTTCATCATCGGTGGGTGGGTAGCCTACCCTTTCTCCAAACATCTTACATGTAGGTATGGAAGTTATTAGACCCTACATGTAGGCCTATTGACAACATGTTTGCATCAAGGTAATTTTTGACAGCATGTATTTTTCACACTGCCTTTTATCACTCTTTCTCTCATGTTTTGGGAATATTTGTGGTACACTCTAATGGAGCATCTGTGAGTAACAGTGGATGGATGTCTATGGGCCTTTTTCTTTTTTTTTAAAGACTGGCACCTGTAGTGGGACTCAGCCTGGATTGGCTCTGACATCTTTGGTTAAAGGAGTTGTAGTCCGCCTTTATCTCAGTCTTAAATGATCTTAATTGTGTTGATAGGGTCGTAAAAGTCTATCATTTTTACAACTTTTTTTTTGCTCCGCAGACTGAAGAGACCCATCCCATCAACTGGAGGCCAGACATTTACAAGAAGAAAAGATACTGAAGTCTGTGGTTATTCTTTGTCCATTTGTAAATATACAGCTGCCTTGCACATCAGTTTTCAATAAAGATCATGTCAATAATGTCATTTTGAAATTTCTACTTTTGTTTTTTTTTCTGAAAGTTGAAACTCATTTATGCCCGGTAGTTTTTTAGTTTTAGGCAAAGTGTGAAGCATATATCTGTGTGTGTGTGTGTGTGTACAAATTCAAACCCAGGTGAACTTTACGTAAGTACAAATTCAAAGTAAAAATTTCTGTTGGAACAAAAGCTTGGTCCCTATAGACATAGGGTGTACAGTCGAACCTTGCCGGCAGGTCCTACTTCTCTCCTTCCCATCACTTGTTTCTATCTTGCATTCTCCCTACACTAAATGTTTTTCATTAAGTTTACCACAGAGTAGTAGAGAGAGACTCTCAGCTCTAAATACATGGACACAACATTGAAATTACTTTTTTTTTCCCTCTACGGAAATAAGCTCTCAAATTGTTTAAATTCAAGTATTGGACACTGTGCAAGGCATACAAATACAAAAAATCAAAGAAAACTGAAATACACAATTTTAATACCTTCAGACTTTATTTTGTACACACACAAACAAGAACAGACACTGGATGATCCTTTCAAGCAGCGCTCAGATCACTGGACAAACTAATCTTGCTGCACTCAAAAGATCCAATTCAAATTCAACATGTTTCCCAACAGGCATTCTGCTCAAGCTACTACCACTACCATAAAACAGGCTGAAACAAGACAAGTTTGATAAGACACTGTGACTGCGATGCATGAGTGGTCACAACTGCTCCTTAATAAACCATCACTTATGGTAGTTGACTACAAAAAAAGTTCCATGTATCTATTAAAACGAACTAGTTGGGATACCATTCACTTGGACTGACCTTCCAGACCACACATATTTAGTGGGCGGCTAAGAAAGATAAACCACTCTAATATAAAAAACAACAACAATCAGTCTTCAATCCTTGTTGATCTCATCTACTATCTACAGCTTGTCTGTCACTGTCCTTTGAAACAATGATGGCACTCCACCATGGGTGAAAATCTTTATGTACATCAGAAGAGGGCTATTAGTGCACTCTGCTCATTAAACTTTCAACAGCTTTCATGATCTGTCCTGTGTTCATGTTGGACAATGGGAGGCTGGACTCTCTGCCAAATTCTGTGAAAAAAAGATAAATAAAACATGTCTTTTGTTTAACTGGAACAGACCATGAAAATGACAAACACGGTGGGGGCTAAACAATTCCTTCCTTGTCTATTCAGAAATGTTTGCAGAACACGCCCATGATAAATAAAGCACCTTGACGCACAGACAGGCCTCTATGCAATGACTATAACAAGTAGAACAGCAATGTTTTTGCTTTTTGGACGTAACATACACAGCTGAGCGTGAAATATCTAGAACATGTCTCGGGTAGACTAATTATTTCAAATGTGTTCATATATTTGTAATTTAAATACACCGAGATAACGAAAAATCATAAAAGACCGGGGAAAAAAATCAAGGGGGGTAACTGTGGTGATATGATGGAAAATAAATCCCTGTCATCATGAAAAGTACTCGTTATCAATTAAAGAATTGGTAGGATGGATGGTGCCTGCTTCTTGATCGGTGTTGAGTAGAAGCAAGATGATGATGCTGATGAGCCCTACGACTAAAGAAAATTGCCGGTACGTCAGATGTAACAACACTGGTTATATCACCCCCCCCCCCCCCCCCCATGTAATCACTCCCTGATCCATACTCTCATTTAAACAATCACGCGCACATGCATACAAATACATACTAGTATTCTAAATCAGCGGGACACAAAATTTCAGTATGCATAAATTTCAGGTTATGTATCATATATATAAATTATAAAGGGAGATGTTGGACAATTGGGTAAAAATTTTACATGGATTACGCCTCGTATGTTATGCTTATATTCTGTGTTGGATCATAGTCACTTAGATTAGCAGATTTTAATTTTTGACATTGATTCTTCTTCCAACTCTGCGAGGATTAGCCCTATTTTTTTCCACTGAGAAACTTCTCTGTTTGTTTTGCACCATCGCGGTCCACTCTCTACTATAATTATAACTTCTGTTAAGTAGTGTGTAATCTCTGTTGAAGAAGAAACACCCTGGCACACGCTGAGACAAGACCGGATGCATGCCTTCATGTCATCGCAGACTCCTCACATGCATCTCTAAAGTGAGCAGGCTTGATCACTGTTTTTGATCACATCCCACCACCCAGCACCAACCCTCACATGACTAGATTCAAGGAAGTTCTAGTGCTTCCTGCACAGTGCAGGTAATGTGCAATGATACGTCTCCATGCTGGCAGTGTGTATCATGCTATGTAGGGGCGACCCTGATGGGCTCAAGTAACCTGATCCTCTCGATGATGATGGTCAATTTGATTTTCCATCAACAAGCATACAGTATGATACAGGCTAATTTGAAGTTGAGACAACTGACGAAAAATTTGATTGTGTTTTTCAAGATGAGCTGTTGTTAAACACATCTGTGCTGGTGTTCGAGAAAATAATACAGCCAAAACAAAGAAAATATATAGCATGCTTGCAGTTCAGTCTGGAATGGCATATGTTCCAAGTATCCATGAATTCGAGTTTTTTTCTGTGTATTTGCGTATCTGTGCTTGACTGTACTTTACTGATCATTCACTGGAAGAAATTAACAACCGGCTTTCACTAGCTTAAGTGAGACAAAACATAAATCAAATCGTTTAAGTATAAAAATTGTGGTGACAGAAATGTCGTTCATAAGATGCGTGCTGCGTATCCCATGGATAGCTAGAAAAACAAATGAAGAAGTCTTGGTTGAAGCCAATTGCAGAAGACAGCTTATGACGAATATATGACAATGACAGGCAAATTTCTTCGGACACACAATGCGGAAAGAAGCATTGGAGAATATTGAAACAACAGGCAAGTTTGATGGAAAGAGAGGCAGAGGCAGACAGAGGGAAAAGATACTGGACAAGATGACAACATGGCTGGGAGCAGCAAGAACAGACACCATTGCTGCAACGCAAGACAGTGTGAAGTGGAGGTCCATGATCCCCCATGCCAGTCGGCAAGGCACCAGATGATGATGATGATGATGATCCCTACTAACGCACCAGCCAGGCATAAATCATTCGCTTAAAGTAAAAGAGCCCTTATTTTTCTATTGCTCACTAGCTCATTCTCATCCTCACTGCAAAGCTTGTGACTGTTCCGTAAATACCTAGTTCCCAAGATGATGAACTGTCTGTAACCCTAACCTAATAATGTTATTCAGTCAGAAGAGAGGGAAGTAGGAGGAGGAAAAACGTTCTAGGAAAGATTTTAAAAATTTGGACATTGCTTGAACCTTAATTTGCTAGCCAAGTTGCATCCAGTTGTACCACAGCAGTCAATTATCAGTTATTTACTAGACAAATATTTACTACAAATCTTTATGACAAAAAAAGGAAGAAAAAAATAAAGTCAACTTTATTTTTGTTGAAAAAGTATGTGCTTCAAAGAATAAATTATCAATGATAATGGAAGACACAAAATAAATTCTAAAAATATGACTAATTTGAATTCCTGGATCTTTCCATTACCAGTACCATTCAAAAAGTACAAAAGTTGTCTTTGTACAGTTCAAAGGACACACTCACAAAAATAAACACAACACACTAAAGTGCATGTGGACACTTTATGAAAGTAACCAAGTACAGTGGGTGTCGCATTCAATGAGGTTGCCGGGACCGGCTTGTTGTCCTCGTTGGATCCGACCTCTCGTTGAACGTGACAAAGACTAAAGAAAAGAAAGGAGACACGTTATTGTATTACACGTGTACCAATACCAGTAATTAAAACAGTTGTTCCCCTTGAAGACGAAAATCTCAAACAGCATCAGTGTGCACGTGTTTGAGCTGCTGTGTACTGACCCTCATTTCCGAATTTTTTAATTTACATATTTTTTTCCCGGAACACTTCCCGAGTGGAAACATACCCTCTCACATCTAGGCTTAGATCTACATAAAGAAAAGGTGGGAACTTGGATTTTCTGATCAGGGGAAGAAAAGAAAATTGAAAAAAAATGAAGGTCTCGATCTAGACCTACCCATCCAGAGTTCACCCAGTTTCACACAGCCGGTATCGCGTTCCAACCCACCCCCTCCCATCCCTACCCTAGGCTAACCCTCGCTCATCCTCTTGGTTTTCGAGGATGGGACTTGTGCATTGCGTGAAATGGAGAGAAAGAAAAATTCTTCGCTTTTGGGGCCGCTAATTGCTTTTATTTGGTTATTGAAACCTCGTTGAAAGCGACTTCGGTCTGTTTGCAATCTCGTTGGAGCTGACGTACATTTACAAAGAGATATAGATGAAAAAATCAGGGATTAAGGATTGCTTCGTTGGAGCCGACTTCTTGTTGAATGTGACCTCGTTGAATGCGACACCCACTGTATCCCTCTCTCACCAAAAAAAAAATAATTGTGTTACAGCTTACCGTATCTAGCATAAACCTTGGGCTGTACATTGCTGCATTCACGGACGAGGAAAGGGAACTTGGGATTTTGTTGCTTGAAAGGTACATAACTCTGTTCCAAGAACTCCCTGGAAAAGAAAAGAAAGGACTGTGAAACACCAGCAACAAAAAGTTTTTATAATTAGCAGACTGGTTACTGCAGATGCTCATTGACAAAATCTGTTCGGGTTGTCCAGTTACAGTGAGATTCTAGCTCACTCAGGACATATTTCAGACCTCGGGTCTTTGATCGTGTCACTTTTTTCATTCCTTATTTCACTCTTTCTTACTTGTAACTTCAAATAACTTGGAAGTCAAAGTCAAAATGTGATATTTTTTTTTGCATTTTATCCCCTTCACTATCAGGGGGTATGCATTCCTACTGTCAGCACTGATTTTCAGCTGAGCTCGTTACCCAGGACAGTAGCCTAATGTCTCTGTGCTAATGGACATGCGGTCGAGATCTAGCACACTCATGATTTCGGATTGGGTCTTCGATTGTGTCACTTTTTTCTTTTTTGGTTTCCCATTTCCTCCCATCTTATCTTACTTATGATTTAGAAAAACCTGCAAATCTACACGTCAAAAAGTGAATTTAATTGCCTTTTAAACACTCTCCACCCATACAGCGGGCAGCACTTATGCCCACAGTCCAAGATAAAGATGCGGCACATCAATAGTACACCTGTACCTCCGCAAAAATAACCCATCATCATCAATGCCTTTCACCCATGGCAGGGTATAGACCACATACAAGCTCCTTCCATTTATCTCTGTCCTGAGCCATCCTTCCAAGCTCGTTCCAAGTGAACTTTCTCTCATGTCCCTTTCCACGCATCTCCTCCATGTTTCCCATGGCCTACCCCTGCCTCGTGCTCCTTGTGGGTTCCACTGCAGTGACTGTCTTGTGATGTTTCCGCTGGGCTTTCTTAAGGTGTGTCCCATCCATCGCCACTTTCTTAGTCCTATTTCTACTTCTATATCCTTTTGTCCTGGCCTTTCCCACAGTTCTTCATTTCTTATTCTATCCTGCCACTTAATTCTTAGAATACTCCTCATACATCTGTTGATGAAAGTCTGGACTTTATTCAGTACTGTTTTTGTTGTCTTCCAAGTTTCGCAGCCTTAGAGGAGCACAGACTTGACGTTGGAGTTAAAGAGTCGAATCTTGGTGCGCAGCGAGATGTTGCTTGCTTTCCAGACTTTTGATAATTGCTTGAAGGCTGACCTTGCCTTGGCGGTTCTTGCTTTAACGTCTGCCTCGGTTCCACCTTTACCATCGATAACACTTCCAAGGTAGGTAAAGGAGTCCAGTTCTTCCAGGGGAGTGTCTTCCACTGTCACAGCAGGGCTTGAAACTTTTCCTAGCTTCACTACTTTTGACTTGCCTGGATGTATACGTAGGCCAACACTCCTTGATAGCCTGTTGAGTTCCTTGGTCTTTTCTTGCATTTGAGCCTGTGTGTGAGAGAGCAGCGCAAGGTCATCGGCGAAGTCTAAGTCGTCCAGCTGCTGCCAAGGGATTCATTGTATTCCATTACGTTCGCCTCTGGTGGCTTCTTTCATGACCCAGTCAATTGCCAGTATGAAGAGGAAAGGTGAGAGCAAGCATCCTTGTCGCACTCCTGTCTGTACCTGGGATGGTTCTGAGGGTTGTCCTTCGTGGAAGACTTGGCAGTTTGTTCCATCATAAATACCCCAACCATTATTAAAATATCAGCATACTGAGAAAATTAAAAGTGATGATCGCATGTTAACCAAAAAAAAAGAATTGGAAATTTTGGAACTGAAAACATTCGATCTAACTCATTCATCACCCAAATTCTCATCATGGCATCGTAAGTGTAAAGCACCACTCATGCTAGGTCTACTAGATATATAATTTTTTAAAAATTACTTCAACTGTTGTGTATACAAACTGATTTTCAACCTTAAAGTAAAGTGGCCACACAAACCATTCAGTAAAGAAATTTAACTTTAACAAGTGTGCATGTCAAAAAGGAGATCATTGCTACAATGTTTTGTTGCTATATCACACCGTCGCTGATCGGCGTCCCGTGGGGAAAAGGTACGACTTCTCACTGTCGCCGATCAGCGTCCTGTGGGGGCAAAGAGTTAAAGTCGTTTCCATGTTTAAATTTTACAAGAGCCTCGATCTTTATTTATCGATTGTTTGCAAGCCAAGCAGTAAAGTAACACTACTAGCAAATTTGGTACCGATATATGTGTCTTTTATTCCCGAATATGAATCTATGCAGCGCTTGTGGCTAAAACTCTGTACAGAAGAATTACAGCCAGGATATTTGTGTGATGTACCCCAAACCCTGACCCAACCCCTACCTCCACCCTTACCCCAACCCTCTACAAATACAATAAAGAAGAGACCAAACCCTAGTTCCTACCCCAACCCTACCCTTACCCTTATAAACCTCAACAAACAAAATAAAGGAGAGACCTACCTAAAACCCTTACCCCACCCTTACCCTAACCCTCTACCCCAAACCCTACCCCTCAAAAAAACACAATAAAGAAGAGGCCTAACCCTAACCCATCTCCAACCCTCAACAAACACAACAGAGAAGAGACCTACCATTACCCCTAACCCTGTCCCTCACCCTACCTCCACCCCTGCCCCAACGACCTACCCCTAACCCTAAACAAACACAATAAAGAGGAGACCTACCCCTACCCCAAACCCTCAACAAAAACAATAAAGAAGAGACCTAACCCTACCCCCATCCCAATACCTAATCTTGAAACAAACAAAAGAAGAGACGTACTCCTAACCCTACCCCGGGCCAGACTCCACCCATACCCATATCCCAACCCCTACCCCAGACCTAACCCATACCCCATCCCAAAGACAACCAGAAAAACCAGTGCTCCCAAACAGTTAGGTCAAACAACGGAATTAAATAAAGTCTGCAGGGTCTACAATGGCTGCGCCTTGACTAAAGTCTACCACCCCGACTGAGACCTTCAAAATTTTGAACTGGGTAAGCTAACTGGGTCTAAAAATACGCAAACTACTGTAATTTTGTCATGAACAGATGGTAAAATAGCAGCGACTTAAGGTCTTCCATCATGATTTTTGAGGCCATTGGGTATGTAATCTAGATTTAATTGGGCGCTCGTTACGGAAGTCTTCCCAATTGGACTATGCCTACGCCGTTGCCGCATGGGTAACCGGGAACAAAGTCACGAAGTATACAGACCCGGTAGGGGAAATCTTTTGTGATTTCGGAAAGTTTCAGAATTCAGCGCCCTCTTGGCTAGATCTAGACAGTTAGTAGACAGACAGTCATAAATCATAGATCTAGTTTCGAGGCCCAAATCTAAACGAAGATTGCGAATGTCTTTTCGATGAACCATCGTCTTTCCTCCGTTTTGGAGTTGGAGGAACAAATTAAACAATTTGAAGAAAAGAACAATGTCATAATTTCAATTGAGCAGTCACCCTCTGTAATTTCTCCGCCTCTATCCTCTTTTTTGCCTGCCTCTCTCTCTCTCTCTATGTATCGCTCGTCTTCTCTTTCTCTTTGTTTGTCTCTGTCTTTGTTTCTCCCCCCACCTACTTTCCCACTCTATCATTCTCTCGTTCCCTCCTGTCAACTGGGGCATGTGACATTTGCTAGTACTTCCCCCTGTCCTCTACCCCCTCCCCTCTCTCTCTCTCACACACACACACACACATACAAACACACACACTATACCGGGTCTGGGCACTGAAACTTTCTGAACCCCGACTGGGTCTGTATACTTCGTGACATTGTTCCCGGTTACCGGGTCTGTATACACTTCATTGCCGCATAGGCCTATGTGTCTGCAATTAGTAGAAAAGGAAGTGGCTATTCTCACCCGGGGTGAGAATAAAAATACGATCTACCTCTCACCCCGGGTGAGACTTGCCAGCGTAGGCTATTCTTACCCGATGTGAAACAAGACCTGTTTTTTCTCGTTTTGGAACACTGTCTATCGGTGTGGATGATCAAATTGCAAGAAAAAATTATGTTATAGCACAAAAGTAAGCTAATTTGATCGTCTTCAAAGATGATATGGCTATTTCACTTTTCGAATCGAGC